CCATCTGTCGGGTTCCTTTTGCGGATTAGCATTTCCATTAGGTCGCTATTCCATTTATACGTGATCAGTGGTCCGCGTCAGTGATCCGTGTCCGGGCATGTCCGTGGGTATTATTCCATAGGTACGTTATTTTCTATATACTTTTAATTGAAGTATAGCGAACAGAGGATAATTATTTGTTTAGAATATGATATAATTTCGTTCTAATACCAAAAACAGTTGTAACATCAAGAATTATGTAACAAAACATGAATATCAGTTAGGTTTTTCAAATAACATCTCTTGAGCAACCGAAGACCAGATGTTGTTATTTTTAATCTGTCATTGCTGCATCATAAACTTATAGGTTCTCCTTCACTATTTTGGTGAGCTCTTTAGTATTTTCTTTCGAAATTGATAAAGTATTTAATTTCGTTCGAGGCATTTTGTAGGGATGAGACATGTCAGTGACTGTCCGCGTCCGTAAAAAATCGCTCATCCTGCGAAACGTCGCGGATGCCGTCGCGGAAGCGGATGGTAAACGGACAAAAGGAATAGATTCAACGTATTCTTTGATTAGCGAATCGGTAGCGGACGCGGATGACGGACGCGGACCACTGATCACGTATAAATGGAATAGCGGCCTTAGTTTGAAGGTTATTATAGCAATATAAGGCACAATGCTCTAACCCAATAAATATGGTCTCACATGGCATCGTTGTCTTTTGGACCGGCGATTTTTTCTTTCTCTATATAACGTGGGACATTTTTTTCAAAAACTCTCCATTTTTCTTATGCCAACCGTTCAAACTGGTTAACGCGTCGGACTAGTAATCTAATGATCGCTAGCTGCACGGTTTTAACCCCGTCAGGGGCAAGTCGTTGTTTCCTTAAGCAAGAAACACTTAGTGCTCAGTACTGGTTGGTTCCAGGAAAGGATTCAGAAGTGTGTCTATAATCTTATAGCTTTCTTTCTATACAAACAAACTAATATAAATTATGTATAAACCAAGCCCCATTTGTCTGATTTCGTTGCGTATTTGCCATTGTATTAGTTTGGAGGTTCTACTTTAAAGCAATAAGGCACACTTCTTTTACCTAAGGATATAGAGAGGACCGCATGGCATGATCGATTTTTATACTCCCCCGAAGGGTGAGCATATAGTCGCCGCTTTGTCCGTCCGTCCGGTCGTACGTCCGTCCGGTCGTACGTCCGTTCGTCCGTTTTTCTTGTCCGGGACATAACTCTGTAACAACAAAAGGTATCAACATAAAACTTAGTAAGTAGATAAATCTCGTTTTGGGTAAATGTGGACTGCACAAGAACCGTAACTCTGTCTTGTCTAATTTTGGAATTATTGCCCTTTGTTCATTTTTTTACCTTGAACTTTGTCCGGGACATAACTCAAAAAGTATTAGAGATATCAACATGAAACTTTGTAGGTAGATAGATCTTATTGGGTAAATGTGCAGTGCAAAATAACCATAACTCTGCCTTGCTAAACTTTAAAGTTATCGCACAGTGTTCATTTTTCACTTAAGATATTGTCTGAGACATGACTGAAACTATAAGAGATATTATCATGAAGCTCAGTATGTAGATAGATCTCATTGCTTAGATGTGCACAAGAACCATAACTCTGCCTTGCTTTATTTTGGAGTTATTGCCATTGTTCATTTAACACTTTGTCCGAGACATAACTCTGAAACTATAAGAGATATCAACATGAAACTTTGAAAAATATTAATAAGACACTATGTAGGTAGAAAAATCTCATTGGGTAGATGCGAGGGCACAGTAACGTAACTCTGCCTTGCCTTATTTTGGAGTTAAAGCCTTTTATTTATATTTACATTTTAAACTTTGTCCGGGTAAAGAGTATAAATGTACGTAAAAAAATATTTGGATATCGACCGCTTTAACACGATTTGATTGCTTCAGTTTCGTTTTAGCAATTTCGTTAGTTTGAACGTTCATCTTTACAGCAATTTAAAGCACAAAGGTCTAACCCAATGGAATTTGCCTCAAGAAGCTTCCATGGCATGGTCGTTTTAAAGATCGACAATTTGTTCTTTCTGTATATTTATAGCTTTACTGAACATTTCGCAAGCATTTTCGCAGAGACTCGAACCGCCTGAAACTATTATTTATATCATTTCAATTTGGCACTAAACAAGCTACTTACACATTCATAAAAACGTGATTAAGATGTTATACGACATGACCGCGCGCGTTAGAGTAGGTTATCACAAGAATTAATGTACAATGAGTCATATTTGAATGAACGCTACATACTTAAAAATGATGTAGTCAATACTAGTCATCCTGTAGATTTTATAACTTTGTAAGTTAAGCAACTTAAAGCTCAAATATCAAACGCAAATACAAATCACGGCGAGGTATAGTCGCTATTTGCATTGGAGATTTGTTTTTAAGTATGTAAGGTGTTCGAATTTTTGAGAGAAAAAAAATATCATTCCATTATTTTGGCTTAACTGTTAAAATACCATTTGTGTGATTCCGTTGCGGATTGGACCTTAAGTAATGTAAGGCATAAAACTTTAGCCAAAGGAGTATGGCCTCGAGAGACCGGCATCGGTGGATTTTGAAAGCTGATTTTCTCTTTCTTTATATGTATAGTATCAATGTTCTTAACAAAAAACATTTCTGGTGCCAACCGTTCAAACACCATTTGTCTGATATCGTTATAGATTGATTCTTGCATTAATGTTCTAGCCTAAGGAATATGGCCCCGAGAGGGTTGTGTGGCATGGTCGTTTTATTGGATAGGTGATTGTACTGATTTGCTCTTTCTGTATATTAAAAGCATAAAATTTCCTTACCAAAAATACCATTTTCTGATGCAAACATCGTTTGTTATATTTCATTTTGGATTGAATGGTCCTTAGTTTGGAAGTTCTTCTTTACAGCAATCTAAGGATGGTCTTAAGATGACGTTTTAAGGATCGACGATTTGTTCTTTCTGTTTATTCGTAGACTGTACATTTTGCAAGCATCTTCGTAGAAACTCAACCCTTCTGAAACTATGGTCTATATCATTTCAAATGGGGACGAAATAGTAGCCTTACACATTCATGTAAACGTGTAAAAGATGTTGTGTGACATGAACGCGCGCGTTAGAGCACGTTATTCCAAGAATTTACGTTATGTACTTTGAGTCATATTAAAATGAACGTTGTGTACTTAAATGTGTTTAAAATATAAAGTAGTCATACCGTAAATGTATTACTTTGGAACTTCTTCTTGATACAATTTGTTTATAGGTTATTCTTGACAGCAATTTAAGGTAAAAAAATATCTAACGCAAGGAAAATTGGCGGCGATGTATAGTTGCTTTTTGCATTTCGCTATTTGTGATAAGTGTATAAAATGTATGAATTTTCAACACCATTTTTATGATTCCGTTGCGGATAAGAAAAGTATTTGTCTGGATCTTCTTTATAGTAATGTAGGACACGATGACTTGGCTTTTCTGTATATAAAGTGTACAAAACTTCGTAAAAAAGAAACGATTTCTGCTGTCAACCGTTAAAACACCATTTGTCTGAATCCGTTGCGTATTACTATTTCCATTAGTCTTGATTCTTCTTTACACCAATATAAGGCCCAAAGAAATATGAACTTGAGAAATCCGCGTGGCATGGTCGTTTTTTGAAACAACGATTTATTTTTTATCTAATGTGTAAAATTTTCAGTAAAAAAGTTATTTCCGGTGCAAGCCAATCAAACACTATTTGTGTTAGTTCGTTGTGGATTATCAATTTCACTAGTGTTATGGTCTTTATAGCAATAGAAGGAACAAAGCTGTAGCCCAGTGAATGTGGCCTCGAAAGTTCCGCGTAGCATTGCCTTTTTTCTTTTTTGGACTGGCAATCTGTTATCTATATGAAGTGTTCTAACACCATTTGTGCTATTCATTTTCGGATTACATGTAAATGTTGCATCAGTTCGGATGTTCATCTTTACAGCAATAAAGGACACAAAGCTTTAACCAAAGGAAATTGGTTCCGTATATAAAGTGTATAAATAATTGTAAAACATTTTCTGCTTTCAAACGTAAAAACATCATTTGTCTGATTCCGATGAGGATTAGCAATTTCATTAACTTGAAGGTTCTTTTTTACAAGAATACAAGGCACAAAGCGCTAGCCCAAGGAATATAGCCTTGAGATTTCTGCGTGACATGGTCGTTGTTTAGACAGAAAATTATGTGACTATCTACTTTTCATGCACTGTTTGCATTTTAATGATATGTTAGTACTTAAGCTTTAATTGTTCCTTAAACATATTTCATTCGTACACCGGCGACAAAATAGAAGGTTTATTCTTTTCTGCATCAGTATTCAACTTTTTTCGGAAGTAGTGATTACTTCTCCATTAACCATTTTAACTGAGCAAATAATTTAGACTATATAATACGGCTATTCTGCACTTAATTAAGGTAGCGGATAGTGTCATCGCGTAGATAAGTATAATTTTAAAGACATGTATCTCTAATGTAGATGATAAGAAATGCCTGCATTTACTACAGAAAACTTCATTATAAATATACCATATCATTTTCTTTGTGAAAATCGCATCTTTTAGGAGTTGTTACATTCAATGTCTCCATTATTTAACACACATGAATATTGTACATACACAGAAAAATATGTTCTGGAAGGAATTATATTATGCTGTTATTTTATATAGGGTTTTAACCGAATAGCAATGATTTTGTGCATGCGTCATTCGATTTTTAGACAATATACTACCGTAATTTTCTCATACAATTATTGTTTTAAGTATCTTCTCTCAATAAAAGGAATATTTTTAAGCAGTTGTATAGTTTTATGCACTTTAAGTGTATCAACGATTTACTAGTATATTGTAGAATGTCAATGAGACACCAAACATAGATAAAAGCGAAATATCATCTAAGGATGGTATTGAAAATTACCAAATAGAATATAGGTCGAAACGTTTATATAGAATGCCTTATCTCTTGTGCAATTTAATAAAAGGCAATGATTTTTCGTAATTGAAAGCAGTACTATTGTGTGCAAACGACGGCAAAATTTGGAGATTGTACATTTTTTGGCAAACGTCTGTATGGTAAGTTTTAAGCTCTTGTCTTTGTTAATAGATTAATAGACAATTTACAGGAATAAAATTTTTGGTTATATTTTTAGGTTAACGTATCTTTTACTATATAAATAAATGAGCCGCGTCATGACAAAACCAACATAATGGGTTTGTGACCAGCATGGATCCAGACCAGCCTGCACATCCGCGCAGTCTGATCAGGATCCATGCTGTTCGCTATCAGTTTCTCAACTTGTAATAGAGTTAGTAAGCGAACAGCATGGATCCTGACGAGACTGCGCGGAAGCGCAGGCTGGTCTGGAACCATGCTGGTCGCAAACCCACTATGTTGGTTTTGTCATGACGCGGCTCAAATTGTAAATATTATTTAATGCGCCACGCTATAATAAACTATTTCGCTAAAATTATCGTCGCCTGATTGTATGCTCTTCCTCCATTGATTTTAAAACTAGAATATTTTTATACCTCTGCAATTGACTTGAATACCTGTGAATCTACACACCAAAAATTGTTATTAACAATAGCATTACATATTACTCCTGAACTTAAAATATTTTTAGAAGTTATCTTTAAAGATAAATGTGACTTTGACAAATAAAACTTCTAAACCTTCTATTGCTACTTGAACGTAAAGACATGTTCTAAGTTTCTTGTTAAATACTCTTGAAGTACCTCTATCTTCCCCTGTGTTACCAATTGAAAAGTACAGCTAGATCAGTACGGAATCATAAAAAATAAATAAAATACTAACTTTGCTCTATCTCCAATGCAAAATACGCAAACTTTTAAAAAAAAACATGGAATCAAATAAAACTAAAGAAATTATTTTCGGATTTATCACGACGTCATTTTATTGCAGTTCATTGTAAAAACATATCTGCGCAAAAATTACGCAATTGTATAACGGCGTGGGTAAAACAGTCGGAAACACCTGTCTGGTTTACAAGAAAACATATTCTGATATTATAAATATAATGTATTAATGTTATATTTTTAATTTCCTGATGGGAAGATATTATCTGACATTAACTTCTTTTACAATTACAAATGTATATCAATAATCGAATACTAAACGTCCTAATAAAATTCCACGCACCCAAGGACAAATGCTTCTTTTCTTTATTTCTTAACTACAAGTAAGTAAAGAACATTAATCGATTTTTACGCTTTTTCTCAGGTAAACCTGACAGTTAATGTTGTTGCTGAACAACAGTGTCCAGATTTTGCATGTAAGTTTTGAAAGCTAAGAATTATTCTTCAAGGCTTAAACGGAAACGGTTATTCTTCTAAGATATTATTTACAATCTTAAAATAATCATGATGAAACACATACGAAAAGATTTCTACAACTTCTGAGCAATAAAAAAGAATTCCTTTTAATAAATGGTGAAAAATTATATTTGTCTTGAATATATTAAATATTTCATATTATTTTTACTGAATTAAACTTAAAGTATCATATTGTACAAAATTATATCACAATCTGAAAAGAATCAACATAATTTTTAACTTGATGTTATATTGTGTCCCGTGCGTTTTTAGGAATCCAACATATTACAAAGGCAAAGTAGTAAGTAGTAAGGAAATATTAAATTAGACTACTTTGGTATGTAGTGTGTTCATGTACATAAACTGTTTAAGGATTAAACGCTTTTCTAAGCACAAATTGTATAAATTTTTCTCTCTAATATGAACTGCTTATCTCACCAAATATTTCTTTTCAACTACATATACATTTACTGTACAACCCTGTGTTTATATAAAAATGAAAATTTAAAAGAACAAGAAAACTCGCTTTACAATGTAGATGACTTATAAGATTTGAATGAAGACTCTTACAATTTGTCATCATTTGTTTTAATCATGATTCTATTTAATCATGAAAAGGTTAAGAGATAGCACTCTTGCTATTTCAAATTTTCCATCTTTGCCTTTGTAAATTGTTGCACTACTACTAAAAACGTCTTAAAATAGTTCTCAAATGCCCATTAACAATTTCATTTCAGCGACTATTGGTACTTATTTCATGTTTGGGATAATTGGAACCAATTCTCCTAAAAGCGACGACCATATGTACGTCCATATCACAACAATGACCGGTACAATTGCCAAAGTAATCATCGCTTCACCATTCAACAACCTTCATCAAGAGTTTACATTAGCAAACTATACTATATACCCCATATCTTACACTCATATTCAAGTAGGGAATGGGAGCCAGTTCAAAGGGATTGAAGTTGTCTCCGATGTCAACATATCTGTAGCAGTGTTTCCCGCATTTATCGATAAAACAGAAGGATTCCTAGTTCTTCCTGTTACAGCATTATCTACAAGATATGTAGCCGCCTCCTATCATCCTTCTGGATATAACAGTGAAATTCTTGTAACAGGAGTAGAGAGTAATACACATGTTGAAATTAACTACACATCTAACGGAAACGCCCAAACCCAACATATACAACTAAATCAGTTTGAAACCTACCAATTGGTTGTTACCTACGACTTAAGTGGAGCTCTAATAACAAGCAACAAACCAGTAGCTGTATTTAGCGGGTCGAGTTACAGTCAGATACCTGTTGGTATTGGAGCTTATAATTACATTGTCGAGCAAATGATTCCACAGAAATACTGGAGTAATCAATTTATTGTACCGCCGATATATCCTCATAACTTCTTTATTGTCAAAATATTTGTAGACTACGACAATACTGAAGTTCATTTCTACAATAGTACACATCATTTTGGGTCTTACCTTGACCGAGGGTCTAATCAGGAGATTTTGTTCGGTTCCGAACCAATAGTTATCCTATCTACAAAGCCAATATCTGTTATTCAGTATTGTGCAGATAGTGAAAATATGTATGGAAACCCTTTTATGACCACAGTGCAAGGCATTTCTCAATATGAAAATGTGTACAAGTTTGTAACAGAATTATATAGCGGAGTAAAGAGCACAGTTGCGATCACATTAAAACGAAATGACATGAGTGGTCTTTCAATGGGCGGAAAAAACATTTCATCATGGAATGCTATAATTATCCCTGTTGCACGTCCGATGGAGGAGTATATTACCATATTTGTTAATATATCATACAACAGTTTATTTAGGTTACATCATACCGGCGGTGTCCGGTTTGGAGCTACTCTTTACGGATTGCTTGCTACAACTTTCTCATATGGCTATCCTTTGCAATTAGCGTTTTCTAAAACAGGTAACTTGTACGTATATTGTTGGTTTCTATTTCTTGTAACACGTAAATACATCACAGTTATACGGTAATAAGAACAATGATTGCACGCATATTGATTTTGCTCATCTATGTAAGCATAACACTTGAAACTGTTTTTTTTTAATTAATCAATGACTCTTGTGGTTATTTATCTTAACATATTTTTCTTGTCGGTAGATGAAAACTATGGTGGTTGATTTGTGCAATGTCGTGTTCTCGCATGGCGCATCACCAAAGGAAAAAAACGACAAAGAGACCAATTTTCTCGCACTTTTGCTCCACGGGGCACAAAATGAAAACTCGCATAGTAGTAACTTTGTCGTATTGTCTTTTTTCGTATTTTCTTTCCGCGAGGCGACAGGCAAAAACACTAAAATACGACAAAATCACCATTTTGTTGTATTACCATGTTTTCGCATTACGCGGAGTGAAAATACGAGTTGGCACAAATCAGCAAACATAGAAAACGGATCACGCATTATTTTTTCACTTTCTAATCGTGTTTATTCGATTGGAAGCTTTTGCTTAAATATTTCCAATTTAAAAAGCTATAAAATGGGGGAACGGTTATGCGTCCTGTTATATTGTATTTCTAATAAATACAGACTGTCAAGCCGGTCAAATTACTGGACCAACAGCTAGTGCTTTGTATCCACACACTGATAGCTCCCACGGAAACAACGGGAACCAAGGATATATTAATACAGGTATTTATGGAAATATTTTACAGGAGACAAACATATTATTAACCAAACTAGAATTAAAGGCGCTCCTCTGACGGGTTTTTGAAATGATGGGACTAAAGTTTTGTGCACAATTTGATGTTGGTTAGGACAATTACCTTGTGAGCAGCATTTCATACCATCCGCTCCATCCGTTTTACCAGAATATTCATTTTTATTATGCAAACAGGTATACAAAATGGAAATTTTCAGTTTAATTCTTGGTATATTTCTTTATTATCTTTTGCCCATTTGATTAATGTGAGCATTAAGATTTTAACCTTCATACCTCAGTGAAGCTCTTATAAGATTTGGATGTTCTCACGCGTTTTGTAACGTAAAAAAATCATAGCCAAATGACTTGGCCTCGGGGGAAAATAGTGATACGTGATGTAGAATTTGGTAAAAAAAAATTCGTACAAGTGTATCTATTTTGACGTTTAATCAGTTGGCCACCACGAAATTATGAACATGTCAGCATCTACAATAATCCATTAAATGCTTTGGTCATTTAAACATTAAAATGAACTTTACGAAAATTACATTTATTTAAGAGGTTTTTACTCTTGCCAGGAAACGGCACGTGGTGTTTCCAGTGCGACAATATGTCCCATCTTCAATATTGTGATACAGTTACCAGATGTCAGACTGAACATGAGGTATATAGAACACCTTCTCTCTGCTCTACTATAGTATAATTTTATAAAGTTTGTCGGAGTAGTATTTCAGATCAATGCCCAAGCAGTGGTCTCCCCTTACAGAATTTCAGATGTACTATATACTAGCGGGCAATTTATACAAACAATCACTCTTTTTCTAGATGAAGCCATTTTTGGTGTATCACTATAACCACAGAGACGGGCGTTTCTATCCTTCCTTAGGCTACGGAAACGTGGTCCGTTTCATTTTTTCTACATTCACAAACCTAACAGATTTCGTCAAACTCTTCTTTGGTTGTTAGTTTGGGATTACATTTTTCATTGTTTTCATTGTTTTCGTCATCACAGAAAAAAGCATTTTAAAGAATATAATCTTTGAAATTCATATATCCTCCCGGTATAAATCAAAAGACACGAGTTACTTGTTTCTAAACAAAATTATTATTGTCTTAAAAACATTTTCATTATTTGGTTGTTTAAACTTTGATATGTTTCATATTTATATTTATCTAAGTGGTAAATCCATTTACTATGATGTGTACGACTTGTTCAAAATCTAATAAAACTTGCATGATTGTAATAGTATTTAATTCGTTCAATATTAATTGTACTTGTATAATTATGATAAAATTGTACGGGATTTTAAAGAAGAATCCTTCAACAGATGAAATAAAAAATTTAATTTATTTGAAAATATTTTTGACTAGAATCATGTAAGTTTGTTCCTTACAATATTTTTTCAAAGCTTTTTGATTACTGTATGTACACTTTTTTATAAATATTTTTGTTATTTCGTTTTATTTCAGAGTTGTTATGTCCAAAGTTTTACCAGAAGTAACAACGGGAGACTATATAGGTCAGGCTGTATGGGTAAAAGCGTGAGTTTCAAATAAGATATTGAAAAAGTGAAAATAGGAATCCGTAAAGAAAGTTCAAAACGACAAAATTGAAAATGTTGCAGGCTCGGTTTGATTGAGCCTGTTCATGGACGGTAATGTCAAGTGCAAACTACTATCCGTGCTCCCTAGTACCGGCTTAATCAGAATTCAACATTTAAACATGAAAATGGTGAAATTTTGAATTTAAAAACATACGGAGATATGTTCATACGGCGGTTATCATGGAACTTTCAATGTGACACGTTATTACCATTCCATTAACAGGCCCGTCGTCACGATTTAGTGATTGGTGCGGCCAATTTGATTGGTTTTAGGTAGAATCTAGGGGGGTACGGGGGCATGCTCCCCCGGAAAAATTTTTATTCTAGGATGCTGTCAGGGGCGTTTTCCCGTATATTTGGCACAGTTTACAGCCTGCCGCTAGTACATGTCATATTAATATGTCAACGATTTTTTTACAGATTTAAGTGCGTCGTAAGTTTTAAGGATGAAATTTAAGGTTCGCATGACGGACGGACAGGTGTACATAAAAGATGAATACATGTTATTGATATTTGGCAAATGAAAAATAAACAATAACTGATGTTATTATAATTCTTTAAATGCATTTTTATCTGATGATTATAAATAAACAAATAAAAGAAATATTACAGTACGTGGATTATTGTTCAGCATAAATCACACATTGGTATAAGCTTAAATAACAATCGATGACATGATGGAAGAATAGTTCATTACGAGTCAACAATAACCGCTTTTTGTTAAGCATGCAGTAACTTGTATTTTGTTAACAATAATCTTACACAACACAGAGTCTCATTTTATGTAAATTTTCCAAAAACACATCGCCGTCGTTCTCTGGTAGTGATGAACTCATCGGCAATTACACGTAAGTTGAGTGGATCTGTCAGTTAACACCATTAGATTGTTCAAAAGTACTTGAGACATTGTTGATCTCAGGTATGTCTTTATTCTTCTGAACGCCGGGAATGTCCTTTCACTGGTAGCATTAGTAGCAGGCATTACTAACAAAATCTTTAACAACACAACGACCTCAGAAAACAGTGCTCGTTCTAGCACCGACTGTTCTGACGCAAATTTCAAAAAACCGGGTAGAGTAACACTACTATTTTCTGACTTGTCAAATTGTGAAGCTGCACTTCTAAGATGTCTCGGTTAATATCGTTACCACAGAAATCACAAACAAAACCAAGTTGTCTAGTGGACTCGGTCTTCAAAGGTTGTGCGGCCTTTTTAAGTAAATTCTCCACGTTTTGAAGAACGCGATATCCCGGTTGATCAAATCTCTCTTTAACACTGGCGATGGCAAGATCGATTGCTTCAAAGTACTTAGGCCGGAACACGTCCTGCACTGTTACGGGGTTGTAGCCAACACCGTGCCACATCTCGAATCGTGTGGGCGCCTTTCTATTCCGCGGAACATTTCGATCGTTAACACCGACTTTGAAGTTTAATCTATAAAGAATCAGAACTGTCGTCTGATCTCATGTCTATCAAACTATCTAGAGTCCGCATTGCTAGCCGCTGGCCCAATGAAACTTGTTGAGGAGATTTGCTGAGGTTGTCTGTCAATGCTAGGATGTCGTGTGCAAACATTACACCGAAAAAGTACTCGAACTTGACTTCGTAGGACCCCTACATATACCTGGTCAATTAATTGTGTCCAGTTGTTTCTTCGTGTCATGTTTGTATATTACCACGCATTGCATAAGGGGCCAGTTAAGTGTCAAATTGCTAATCAGCGATGCGTGTTTTTGTTTTGTTTTTGTGTTGTTTTTTTTTTTACTCATTTTTGGCCAAAATATTGGTCCGGCCAAGGCCGGACCGGCCGGACCATCGACGACGGCCTTGATTAAAAGCGGCGTATGGTCCCAAATTAAAAAAATGTGTGTGCCCGAAACGAGAAAATAATGGGCGGAACTGAAGTTGATCAAGATGAAGTTGATATTTATGATGTATTTATGAGTGTTGTCTTGTGTCTTTCTGTTGCTTAGTGTGCTGTATCCCATCTCAAAATTTATTTTTAACAAGTATGGAGGATCTTTAATTGTTATTTTGAGGTGCGACAATGGCAGTGCACAAATGTGGTGTCAGAGATATAGATATGTAATGAAAAAAAATCCACCTTGTCCCCTGTGGCGTTAAATGTTTCGGCCAATTAATTTTGATAATTTCGAAAATTGCTATTACTTTATGTGTTTAAAGAAATGAAATAACAAGCAAGCATTTTTTTAATTCCTAAACTGGTTAACATTTAGCATGAAATCTCGAGATATCTCGTAAATAAGCGCCTAATCAGGAAAACTTATGTATCATTTAGGTGTGTCAAGGTCATATAAATCAAGTGCAATGTCAAGAATGCTGTCATGGAAGTTTCTGTAACAATATTGGTTGTGGTGACGACGGTAATTATTTTTTCTTATTCTAACACTTTCATAACTTAAACTGAAGACATATGATCTGGAATGACGTAATATTGTTGTTGTTTTTGTATCACAAATGGAATTTTCGTTATCTTTTTTAAATCACAATTTTATCCCATATTTAAATCGCTGTCGAAATTTCCCAACAAGTTCAAGAATAAACAGAATGTATATTCATTGAGAAACTTCAGAGAAAGTTTGTTATTTAACAGGTGTCATATTCATTTTAAGGATAAGTAAACGATTCACAAAGTGTTGTTTTTTGTTGTTGTTTTTTCTCAGAGGGGTTGTTGTTTTCTTCTTTTTTCTTTTCTTTTGGGATAATTTTTTCCAAAATTCTGATCGTGTTTTTTCAGGACTTTCCAATTTCGATGCAAGAGGACCATTTTGTTTCGACTGTGAACATCAAGGAGAAGAGCTCTGCAAAAAAGTTCAGATGTGTCGTCCTGATCAGGTACCCTTAAATGCTTTTTTCAACCCTTCAACTCCCTAGTGCCAGACATGACGCCGAGCAAAATCTTGTTTCACTAAGTACTTTCACAATCACACTTTTTTTTCTTTTCATTTCATATACATAGAATTAAAAAACTCAATATGACGAAATTTAAGCAGTAGGATCTCTTTTCCAAGAACGCTCAGAAACCCTTTTTCGTTGACACTTTCGCTGTCATCTTTTATATTTCACAGGTTTGCAAAATAGAGAAGTTTGAGTGGGGAAGTGGTTATAACTACATAATGGGATGCACAGAAAGACAGGTAATTTATCTTTTGAAGCGCCACACTTTTAAAGGAATAAACTAAATCTTATAAGAGCGTTTAGTTTGGTGAAATGTATCAATACGTGGGAGTCAAAGGCAGGAAAAAGGCCAGGGCTTTGGCTTGCCCGGCTATAGACTAAACGTGTATGTTAAAAAGGAATTCAAATAAAAACAATTAAAAATATATAAATTTCTATATCTATCAGTGTCATTTCAAGTTGGACGCCGCCATTTTTAATGTAACGCTATGATGATCGACGCGGTATTCCGACAGCGGTACAATCGCAACATTTCAACTTAAGAATAATCGCCTAGATGTTCCGATTGAAAACTGAAGCGGTGCATGAAATACCGAATGACAACTCTTTAATGTGAATTTTCCGTTCATAGGCTTTGTCTACTTTCATATGTGTAATCATTAAGATGAAACTATTATATAATGCAATCTATAACAATATTTTCATTATCAAAATTGGCTCCGTTACTAAAGAACTAAAAGAAATTTCTGTATATTTTGACAAATTGTATGTTATCAGTTATCGGAGATTTCATAACCGTTTTACTTATTGTAACAGTTTTAACAGTTTCATATAAATTACCACAAACCTGAAGGCATGTTGCTTTAACTAAATTAAATAATTATGTTGTAAAAATGCGTTTTTGTTTTGCATGTTATTTTTAATCAATCCAGTTTGGAAAAGCATCACACCAAACATGTTTGAATCCCTTCAGAAACCCACATTATTCTTCAGAAACCCACGTGAACTCCGTTTAAAAACAGTTTGATTTCCTGTAAAATATGCAGGGAAGACTGATAAAATGTAGGATTAACATTTGTCATTCTAAAATAACAACCTGAAATTAGGAAATATCATTGGCAGTTCTAAAATTGATAAAAGAATGAATTGGTGAAATGTATATCCTTCTTAAGTCCTAATCTAAAGATGTTTTATTCATAAAACATTTTAGAATAAGTATTTTGTATGGAAGTCAAAATACTTCTTTGCTTACATTTTGCTACTTTTATGACAAATTGTTTTACATATATCGCTACTTTCTTCTCGTAACAAGCATCTAACATTCTCTAAAGCCATTATCTAAACATAATAAATTTTATGTTTACCTCTCCTTAGAATTAAAACATTAAATGCCAACTGTTGTAAAAGTATTTTTACAATAATGAAGGTTATTTGGAATCTTTCGGATTCAAAATGTCTTTCGGTAATTGCATTGGTGTGCCAGATCTGAGGATTAAGTGTATCGGCAAAACGTTATTTAAATCTAAAATGGCATTCATCATCTATGAAATATATGAGAGGGGAACAATAAATTGAAGCGAAAATGCTTAGTACGAATCAAATATGTTGCACCTTTGATAAAATGAGAATTTGAACACGGAATTATTGTTATTATTAAACAAGCCCTAATCTAATATCTCTGATTATCTGTTTAAAAGTCTGAAGTAACCTATGCAAGTAAAAGCAGATTAACTCGACCGAGTATTTTTTAAAGGTACTTCTTGTTTATATTAAAGGCATGCGCAAGTAAAAGAGACATCCATGCTCGTCACGCTTCTGTATGTGAACACTGTTGTCATTCGGACTTCTGCAATATGAACTGCACGAGCGCCCATTTTGAACAAATCATTGGTATCTTTTTATTTACTTCTTTTATTTTTGTGCTAATAGTAAAATAAGGCCTTTTGTACCATATTTAGTTGCGACGACGACTTTTAAAGTGGTTCAACCTGTGTTTACAAGGAGTAAGTACAAATCACTTTTTTCATGACAATTGTACAATGTGTTAGGGAGACATTTTCAAAATCCCCAAAAATATCTGTCTGTCTTATGCAAGTATGAAGACAAATAACAATAGTTCATTTCCATAGTTTTTTAAAGTATGTATGACAATGTTCAATTTATTTTAAAATAATAAAGTTAGGCCATATATTGATTTATTAACGGTCAACTGTGAGAGCCAACAAGCTTACGAAAATATCAGTGTAATTATTTCGCAATATATGACGCCTTTCTTTTTTCAGGCTAACAGAACGCAGAAGCAAAGAATGCTATGACAATCTCAATGAGACATAGAAATTTAATTTATCGTTAGATATATATTCTGCAAAGGAATAAAATTGGACAAGATAGAATTGATTTGGTTTATGTTTTGCATTATTTCCACCTAGCACATTCACATTGAAAAGATTTAATATGTATGTGCACACTATCTCGTATGTTTTTAAGTTTAAAATAAGTTTTGTGTTTGTATTTTTTTATTCTTATCATAATTTTGGTAAGGTTTTAAGCTACTGTTAAGAACATTGTGCGACTTTTCAGGTTTATTGGTCAACGAAGACCGCAGATGCCTCCTCCTCCTATGTATTTTGTTCACGAGGACACCTGAGAAAAACCATTATGCAACAGTCGAGGCTTTTATATTTAATAAGCATATGAGGCCTCATCGGCTGAATGAGGAAGGTTGTTGATGTCAAACCACTTGTCCCACACCATTCTTTGCTCGGAAACCGTCAGCGTCTTTGGAGATGATCCAACTAGACGGTTGTCTGACATAGGTGCCTGAAATAATGCACGAAGAAGAATTAGTAGAGCTGATAAGTCAATATATGACCTCATAATATCGGTGTACCTCGTAATCTACCCTTTATTTGCCTCAAAGCAAAGGATACAAAGTCCTCTATGAAATGGAAGAGGGTTGTTCATTCTCATTCTTGTACTTAATCCTTGGTGTTCATAAACACGAAAAAAAGCTAGAACTTGAAATATTTTGATTCTTCCTATGTCAAATTGATTCTTATAATAATAATAAAAAAACAACATTACTAGGTAAAACAAAAATCAGCGGTGAGGTCCAATTATGTATTTCGGTGCCAGAAAAAAAACGTATAGTTTTTGACTAATGGTGGCAATTTATTTTGTCAATATTCAGATTGGATTAATTGTCCATAGTTTTGTAAGTTTGTTTGGAATATTTGGAAAATGACCATGGCCATTTCCTGTCAATATTCATTTGCGGTTATAAAGACGAAGAAACGTGTTATATAATGTTATAGAAGGTATGCAAACCAAAGGTATTCCATTTTTATGTCAGTCTACAATATTTTACTACGTTCTTTGAGCTTTAGAAAACTTTCCATTTTAGTGATATTTTAAGTAAGTGTCTATAAACTGGATAATTGTTCGTAAAAGCACAATTTTCCGCTGTCAACCGTAAAAACGCTATTAGTGTGATTCCGTTGCATATTATCAATTGCATTAGTTTGGAGGTTTCTCTTCACAGCAATATAAGACACAAAGCTGTTGTCCAAGGAATAATTGCATGGTCTTTTTAGGACCGGAGGTTTGTCTTTTCTCTATATAAAGTGTAATATAATTCGTAAATAAGGTTTCTTTAAGGTTCCTTTCAGCAATATAGAGCACAAATAACTAACGTAAGGGAAAATGACGGCGATCGAGGTATTGTCGCTTTTTGTATTTGCGACTTGTTTGTTATTTACTTACGGGCGGAAACGCCATTATTTGTAGCCAACCGTTGAAACACCATTGATGAAATTCCGTTGCGGATAAGAAGTTGCATTAGTTTGGAGGTTCTCCTATAGGTTCTTCTTTGTAGCAATATAGGACACAAAGCTCTAACCCCTTCTTATCGATGACTTGTTCTTTATGTAAATAAAGTGTATAAATGTTCGTAAAAACATTTTATGATGTCAACCGTTTACACCATTTGTCTGATTTCATAGCGAATTATCAGTTGCATTAGTCTGAAGGTCCTTTTTACAGAAATATAAGGCAAAAGGCTCAACGAATACGATTCGATTTTTTTTTTTTGGGGGGGGGGGGGGGCGGCGATTTGTTTTTCCTCGATGAAAAGTGTGAAATGTTTCGTAAACAACACCATTTTCTGGTGCCAAGCACAAAGCTCTAGCCTAAGAAATTGTCTCGAAAGTACCACGGGGTTGGTCGTTGTTGGTGCTGTGGCCTCGAGACGTCCGTGTGTTTTGGTCGTTTTTTTACCGGTTATTTGTTCTTCTGTATACTGTTTAATCGGCTGGAGATTTCGCAAGCATTTAAGCAATGATTTAACCCTTATAAAACTTTAGTTTATATTGTTTCAAATGGGGACAAAACAGTGATCTTGAAACTTTATGAAAACGTGATTAACATGTTGTGTGACATTAACGCGTAAGAGCATGTTATTGACCTTTTTACACTACGATTTTTCCGTAGCAACAGATGTTGCATTTTGCGCATGCGCATTCTGCATTCTGCGCAGGGCAAAATCGTAATAAAGATAGACTACATTTAGCGTAGTTAAAGGCTTTCAAAGACGTGATTGTAAGTAATGACACATAGAAAACAGCGGTTAGTACTTAAAACGTGCATTGATATTGATAACAGATATACAAAATTAGCGCGACTAATAATTCAATGACCAAATGTCGTCTGTTCAAGGTTTCATTTTCATCAGTAAATCAAACTGAAACAACAGGGTGTTAAAGATAAATTTTATTACCCATGTATTACATAATATTACACAATCGGTATTCCTTCGAAAGTGGATTGGCAAGGCGGTACGTGTCAAACGGATTGACACGTGACCGGTTATTATTTACCAGCCAGTATACAATATCATTCAACCGTGACGCTATACTACCATACCATAATCACTTAAAATTATGAAATTCAAGTTACTTTCATTCATACCAATCTCATCAGTGTATATCAATTTTGTGAACTGACAAATAGTGTACGTGAGGTGCATTTTCAGGTGTTACGAGAAACCACCATCCATCTGAACTTCTTCAGAATTTGAAATATTATTTAAATATATTTATGTGACTTATAAAAAATTCTGTTGGGCATCACAGTCAAGTCGGATAAAGTATAAAATTACTATTTATAGGTAAACTGAAAACAAAAAATACATTTTACTATCATTATCCGACTTATTTTTAGAATGATAATTAACTTCGATTTTATATGTTTATATGGACGATTTCAACAACTTGTTACTATGAAATTGACTTTTTATATGCTTATTCATGTATTCATATTTCCCCATTTTTTTGGCAATAATTATCTCAGTGTCAGGTCGTGATCGTAAAGGGGAATTCTTAAACAATCGTCTTTTCAGTGCCTATTTACGGCAATTTCAGCCACAAAGCTATAAAGGTATATTTTGTGTTGATTTATATAATTTTATAAAAAATTTTCCTTTATCTAACTCGGAATTGACTATGAATTTCTACTACAATTCTATGTAGGGTGCTTTTCTTTTTGCCATACGCAGATTGCGCATGCGCGAGAAAATACTACTTCCGGTCAATTTTTCATAGCAACGGACCGCGTCGTAAAAAGGTCTATTGCAAGAATATACGTCATGTACAGTGAGACATGTTAACACGAACGCTTTATACTTACAGCTTGAAATAGTTATCCAGCAGATTATATTACTTTGAAGGTTCCCAAACATCTAACGCAAGGAAGAAGAACGTCGAGGTATTGTGGCTGTTTGCACCTACGACGTAATCGTGTATGAACACCATTATTTAGAGCCAACTGTTAAAAACACCATTTGCGTGATTCCTTTGCGGATTAGCAATTCCATTAGTTTGGAGATTCTTCTTAACAGCAATATCAGGCACAAAGCTCTAGCCCAAGAGAAATGGCCTCTCGCGTTCCGCGTGTAAATATTTCGTTGAAAAAAAATCATTTGTTGGTGCCAACTGATCAAAGACCATTTTTTGCGATTTTGTTGCGAATGAGCAATTGCATTAGTTTGGAGGTTCTTCATTAATGTGATAGCTAAACAATACCCGCAAAGTTTGATGAATAGACTTTCAAGTTGGACACAGGAAAAAACTTTGATATTAAACAACCAATTTAGTTTCCAAAAAGGAAAATCAATCCACCACTGATTGTATATTTTTATTTCACTCTATTATTGCCAAAACCTTAAATTCGAAGGAAAAAACTTTATAGTGTCTTTATAGACTTGACTTTGGAAAATGTTTTGATCGTATAGATTAATAATATCTGTCATATGTTGCGGTTCGGACCGGAATATCCGTCACGAGGTGACCCGCCCATTGGGCGGTAACGAGGCTTGCCGAGTTACCGCCCATGGGCGGGTTACCGAGGGACGGATATTCCGGAGTAGTATAGGCGTCGGTTTAGGGCCACGACTGCGCATGCGCGACGCCATATTGGATTCTATTTTAAGAATGACATCATCGTTCTATTTTGAGAATGTGATCATTCGTCTATTTTTAGAATGACATTATCGTTCTATTTTTAATCTCCTGGAAGTATACGGAGCTGACTCGTATACACGATTTAGGGCTTGAATCGCGGACATTGAGGGTCAGGTCCTCGGCCCTAGACGGAGAGATAATTACCATTATGACAGATAAAAGAAATGTTTGTAAATAGATACGTGCTTAATTTATAAATAAAAAAACAAATAGTTTTTTAATAGGTTCAAAATAATATTGATACAAATATAACTCGTTTACTTACCTACATTTAGTAAGGAAATGACTGTCATAGCGTAACGTTCTTGTAGACTGCGCATGATTTATTTTTAGTCGCGGTATTTCACAACCACCAGGAGCTATTTCATCAGCCCCACGCGGGTGTCAATGAAAAGAAAAGGCATTAAGTACTGTCGCCGCTCAGTCTAGATT